CCATGGAGATCTAGCTCTGCAGCATCAGTTACCATGGTGATCTAGCGGGTTAAACCTTTGTGACCCTGAAAACTTTGACTTTTAGCTCGACACACCTGCTAACACGCTAATCTCAGCCCTCTGTGATTCATCTCCTCCTCCTCCTCCTTTAAATCTCTCCTCGCTGAGTCTCTCTTGTGATTTCCGTCGTCTCCGAGTCGCAGCCAGCTCCGTCCTGCCAAACCTGACAGGTGTGTCGGGTCAGGTCAGGTAGAGCTGGCGGCGCCGCGGACACACAGCTGGCACGCAGCACAAAGACATCATTTAATAAAGGACGGCGTATTTCTGCCCGTCTGTGTGGGTGAGCTCACATATGTAAATCCGAGTTTGCATCGTGTGCCAGAAACATCCAGAGACGGCGAGCAGCAAAGCGTGACCCGCACAATCCGCACAATTCTATCACAACACGACAAACCGCTGCAAGATTTCTGGGGGGAAAAAAAAGACAAAAAGCTGCAGCAGAGGCCGAGAAACCAGAGCTGCACGATAGATCGATTCCAAGGAGCGCAAACGAACTCAGACGCTTCAGGATGTGGTGTGGCGGTTTGGGAAACACTGATCAACATTTATTTTACCATTTTAGAGACCAAGCAACTGATCGATTCATCCAGGAAAAAACTGAACCATTAATCATCAATGAAAACAGCTCTACTGACTAAATAAAGGCAAAAAGTGGTTTTATTGGTGGACTTGGATGTTATGCAACTGCATCAAAGCTTTTCTCCGAATTTAACTCCAGACATCTGCATGATGTCGATTTCTGCATCGTGATTTGAAGTGAGACTGAAACACATCATCCTGCAGCTGTTTCTGACACAAAAATAAAACTCACACGGTTCTTATTTTCCATGACTGATCATCATTTACTCTGATTTAAGGATTCTTGGATTCTATTTTGAGTTCAGGAAACAATTATCCACATCTTTTACCTTTTTGTGAGATTTTAGAGACCAAACAAATGATTTACCGAGAAAATATCTGAAAACCAATGAAAGTCAACAAAACAAAGGAAAAAGTTGAACAAAAAAGTGCCAAAATGGGACAAAGCTGCAGCCTGGTGTTAGATTTAAAAAGATGTTCAGACAATTTGAATCTCCAAAAGACCG